TGTACACGCAAATTATGTCTCAGACATCATGAATGGAATTTGATTGCTTACAGAGAATTATCTAGGGCCATTTTAGACAACTTCAAGTATCCCAGCTGGCTTCCCTTGGCTTGGGACCCCCTTACATTTTGCATTGCATTTGTTAGCCCTGTATCTTCAGTGGTCTGCAATATCTAAACTGGCACTCGACTTCTATGTTTAAGCACCTGAAAGATACTCCCTTTTGCTTTGGTCTACACTGTATTAAATAAATCAGAGTATTAGCATTATATATTAATTTTACACTGCTGTAAAAATGACAAGGTAAGTAGGAAACAGAAACAAGACGTCTTCTGCTGATTAATAGTTTAATACAATAGCATCTTCAGTGAAACTTTAACTTTATGTTCATTGGTGTGCTATACAATACTCACAAAAAAAGATTAATTTCAGTACTGATTTAACACTCGAGTTGGATACCTGAGGATTCTCCTATTGTCTACCAGCATTGTTGACTATTATCGCTCCTTGTCTGAGACAAAGCTGTCAAACTGAAGAAATACTGGGTTAGCTCACTAAAAAAGAGGGGAGGAGGGGAAAAGGATGGCAGATCAGAGGCAGGTAAGCATAGGGCGATAAAAAGAGAAAATTGTTCTTTATCTGGTATACAAAATAACGGTTATCAATACTGGCAGCATAAGGAAGAAAAAATATGTTACATAGAATACCTATATTACATAATAATATAGCATTATATCTAATAATATACTTGCTGTAAGACTCTATAGCAGCTAATAACACTAAGCGAGGGATGATCTTTTCATGACACTCTACTCAAAAGCTGGTCTCCAGCTTTCCTAAAGATCTGACAGGTTGCTACAAAGAACAGACGGATGCAAACAGATGGGGCAGCACAAAGTACAGAGTTATTGCCAGTAAACCACCACAGTGGTAGAAATATACTGATAACCTGAATTCTCACCAAGTTTTGCAGATGTAACAGTGTAGGAGAGTTTTAAGGATGGATAGAAGAACAGTGCTTTCAGCATACTTATGTTGATGCCCTTCTAAGTGTGCAAGTAATGAGAATAAAAAAAACAAAAAACACGTATGCGCTTGTACAAGAACTAAATTAAAGCATGCTGGAGTTCAGCAGCATGGGCAAAGCAAACTCAGGAGCTAGCACCTCATTAATGATAAAACATACGAGACAGGATGAAGAAAAATCATGAACGGTTCTGAAGAGGAAACTTTCAGCTAACAATTTCTATGGCTTCTATCTGATGCAACAAAAAAGAGCAATTTAGAAGAAAGGGACAAACTAATTTAAGCAACACTCAAGGAAAGCAGACTTACAGCAATGCTAGAATAGAGTTGAGGCTCTTACTCCTACAAAGTACCTTCCTTTGCAGGATGCTAACCTGGATGGACAAACTGATCCAATTTAGCAGATTTGATTTATCCCACCTCTCAATTCAAACCTGCAAGCTCCATCTACTGCTGCAGCATTCTCTCATCCCATCCAAGGAATACAAAATAGAGATCTTTGTACTAGTGTTTGCTCTCTGATTTACCTTCATACCAAAGCATTCTGCATAAGCAAGTAATTGAGTGAGATGAAAAGAATTCTAAAGACAAGCACTGCAGAAGTGCTGGCAGCTCAGACTCCACCTTGAACAAATACTTCATTTCTGCTGCAAAACAGTAGAAGGAAATCAAGTAAGATCAACAAAATATGGAGAAGAGAAGTATTTTACATATGCTGGAATAAAACTGTGTTAACTAATGACAGTTTTAGCACATAATTATCTACAAATACACGGCACATCTAAGTAGAAATGAAATTATCAGAATAGTAAAAAGGCTATAACTAAAAGAAATGCCATTACAAGAAAGGAAAATGTAGCAGCACCTTTAAGCAGTGAGCTCTATTGGAATATGGAAAAACTTCCCAGGGAAAGCCCCATTCCCTGAAAAATTTGAAATCAGACTGAAAAGCTGATAAGAGGCAATATACAAAAATAAACTGGAGCCATGAACCTGCTGAAATAATAAAAGCATTATATGAATTATCTGATTTTTTTAATATATATAATTTACATTAAAGTTTTACTGAGATATGTGAGCTGCTGTACATGTCACACAAAGCACAGGTGTTTTGGTAAGAAACAAAAGTACACCTGTGTTCTTAACCACAAACTAAAACATTCTTCTATTCTATTTTAGCTTGGAACTCTGTGCAGCAATGATGATTCCACCAGGCATATCCGTAGGTGGCAACCTAGGGAGGAAAAGATACTGATTTGAAGAACAAAGTAGGTGGTCTATCATGATAATGCACTTGCCTGCCCCATCTCCTATTGCCATATAAACAATATTAAAAATAAAAGAAAATACCATTTTTAGGTTATTTTGAAGACTCCTGTGAAAATTTCGGGCAAGATATTTGGAGCAGAAAAGGACATAAAATTGCTTAACTTCAGCTTTCAACACTCAGTTCTTTGATCACAGTCATCGTCTTAAAAGTTTCCAGTGGAAAACATGCTGCAGACAGTTTGATGTATACGTTTTACTCCTACATTTTTTATAGGAAGTTACTCTTATTGAACTATACACCGACTTCTGAAAGTAAAATAAAGAATGTGAATAAAAAGTTCAGATCAGTCAGTTCTTTTAAGGCAAACTAAATTAAGGATAGTGTTTGATCTGTTTGTTTCAAAATTTATATAGTGCCTTCAGAATTAACTGTCAAATATTTTTACCCTACCTCAGCTCATGAAAGGATCTCTGAAATATAGTTTCCATTTGACCTACATATCAGTTGCTCTTTTATGTTCTCACTTCCTATACATACTATTCTACTGCATAAACTAGGCGTCCCTACATTGCCATTGTGTCAATATCCTCTGATTAAAGAACAGCCGAAGTACAACACCAGTAGTTAGCGAGAAGCTATACAATAAAACTAACGTTACTTATGTCACTTTTAATATTCAATGTTATTTATGCATCTCTTCCTTAGGTGAGAAGCTTAAGAGTTACTTAACTTATAATTTTTAATCTCCTTTTTCCCTAGTGATCTTTATATCCCCCATTTCTTCACAAGCCTCCTGGCAACAACCCCCAGACAAAGGCTCCCTGGAGCAAATTCTCAAGTGGAGCAATGACATCTTTACATCAGCTGAGGATCTTTTTATTACATACACATTATTGATTAAATGCAGTGTTGGCCTGTCTGCAGTGTCACTCACTGCTCAGAAAAGCTGCAACTCTTCCTCCAAAATAAGAGTTATACCGAAAGACCCTTAAATCAAAACAATTATATTCATCAACAGAATGCAAAATTTCAGCATTAATGGATAGTCACCAGCTTCAGTTGCACAAAATATAAAATGCGTGGTCACCATGTTTAGATGTTCCAATAAATATAGTTCCTCTCTATTGCCATGTACAGATAGACTCTAAATTTTTTAAAAATCTACTTTTCACTTCCAGATACATATTTAATAATAGGATCTCAATATGCCCTACAAACCAGTTCACCCCGAAAATGTATTACCTCAACATATCAGATGCTTCAGGCAAAGCTGAGCCAATGTGATAGGTTGTTGAAAGGTATTTAGATGTTGCCACACCGCACATCGAGTGATGCCTGATCCTGGGTAAAGTCCTCAGCTGGGAATTAGGTGCTCATGTTCCCTGTTCAATGTATGGGAAGAGTTAAGTCAAACACGGTTGTCCCTCAGAAGCCAGATGAGCTGCCAAAAGTGAAAAGGAGACTCTAAATCTCTAGTGTGGATATCTTAAACACCTTTGCTTGAGTCCCCAGAATATCTAATGCTTAATGGTTGCAGCATTGTTATTTGATGCCTGCTTCAGACACCACATTTCCAGTTTCACAGCTGTATTTTCTAACCAGGAGGCTACAAAGTCAGGTTCCCCCTCTGCATAAAAATGAAACTCCGTAAACCAAAGCAGTACATTTTTAAAAGACTGAAACCTCAGGTACACAGCAGAGAGAGCATAACTCAGGAAGATTGCTGATCTGTGTGAAATGACTGTGCCCATTAAGTATAAAATATTATGCTTGCTTAGGGCCCAAAGCGAGCATGTCATTTGATATGCAGCAAATTGATCGTGTATAAAAATAACAGCCTACAGGTTAGCATGCTCCTGCAGAGCATCCTCCCTACGCAGGTTTGAGCCTACATCCCCTGCAAGCTGGTTTTAAACCCCTTCAAACGCTAAAATACTTCAGCGTTTTGTTGTAAAACATGCTTCACTGTGAGAGCCATCTAAGCACGAGAATAAAGCAACATGTAATTCGCGTGGCCCTACCGAAGCGCTCCACAGGCATTCACGTTACAGCCGCCCTGCAACTCAGCCCGTGCCGCTCTGTGACAGGAGCCCGCCCGGCT